CCCCCCCCCCCCCCCCCCCAGACACACACACACAGACACGCGCAAACTCACACAGGTGGAGGGAAGAGCAAAGGAGGGAAGTGGGAGGAAGGAGAGCGGGAAGAAAAAGGAACGGAGGAAAGAGGAGTATTTTCACCTCGAGCATTAGCGCATAATTGATGATAATCTGTGGGGTTGCAATTCGCAGTTCGATGATGCGTTCGTAAACTGCCTTTGCCGATTCCAGTGTCCCTAGACTCTCCTCCAGATCCACAAACATGGACCAGAGCTTGAGAGACTTGTATAATCTCTTCTGCACTGGTGCGTCGGGCCCTGCAACAGCTCAACAGTTCCATAGCACGACATACCATAACGTATATAGCATTCGTCGATGTTAACACGCTGTGCTGCGTAAACACCTCCCCCCCCCCCCCCCCCCCCCCCCCCGATGCGCCCTGTTCTGACTCATTCAGAATTCACTAACAACAACAATCCCGTAGATAGATCATCATCATCATCATCATCATCATCATCACCATCATCATCATCATCATCATCATCATCAGACTGAGCACGATTCGGTAAGATTGGGTATTGCTTTCGACCAAAACTAAACAGATTGATTGACAGAAACAGATCGATGGAGACAGAGATGGGGAGAGACACATTAAACTGTGTCGATAAGGATTTCAAAGCTTTTGATACACGTGGACAAATGGATTGGTTGCTTGATTGATTGGTTGGTTGATTGATTTGATTGATCGATACGACCGTTTGATTGATTGATTGATTGATAGGACTTCGTTAAGATGGAGGAATAGTAGTATAGGCCAGATTCGAGTCGTACCATGGATAAGATGCACACGTGCATAGATTCGGAGTTACAGCGAATAGATAGGTTAGCCTTGGCTGGAGTGCATGACTTTGCACACACACAGAGTAATTAGATAGACCGATAGGCAGAGAGACTTATCTCTCTGCCTGTAGGCACAGTAATTAGATCTACTTGGATCTACTTATGTCAAAAGCAGTCGAATCGTATCCAGCCTTGGCTGGACACGATTCGATTGCCTTTGACATAAGTAGATAAGTAGATCTACTGATCAATAGATATATCAGTAAATCGATAGATGCATTGGTACATAGATAATTTCATAGATCAACAGCTAGATCGATAGATAGATCGATAATAGATCACAAATAATTGGTTGATTGATTGGCACACGAAAGATAGGAAAGGTACAACGAAACGAACCAATAGATGGAGTCGTTCTTACATACAGATCAGATTTGACTTGCTAACATGAGTAATTCACGCAGATCACTACGCACGCGTAAGATCAATTGATTGATTCATTGATTGATTAGTTGATTGATTGATTGATTGATTGACTGATTGATTGATTGATCGATGAATAGATATCTTATAGATGAGAATGGGCGTGGTGCCGAATACAGGAGTAAGGAAATTAGATTATGCAGGATTTTGATGTACAAAGAAGAGATATCCACAGACGCAAGCATGATATATATATTGTCACACAGAGAATCGGAGCGCAAAGGCGGAAAAAGGCAAAACAAGGAAAGGAAAAGAAGGAAGGAAGGAAGGAAAGCCCCACCTGTTCATCACCTCTTACGTACAAGGCCAGCCACGTGGATGACAGGTTGAGCGCTGGCTGCCCCCATCCCCGCGTGTCACAAGGACCCACTTGCACGCAGCCAAAAGGCAAAGAGGTAAAGAACAGGAGGAAACCAAACCTGACAGGGAAAGAAAGATAATCCAATTGTCACAAAGCAAATAACACATCCCACAGATCAACATTTTTTTATTTATGTTTTTGGGTAAACCGTAGGCAGAGAGGGAGGGAGAAGAGGACAACAAACGAACGAGGGGCTGTGACAAACTGTATCGTCCGAGTTTCACCGAATGACTCATCAGGAGGCTGTCGTCAAATATATGTAGTCACAAGAATATCAGGGCGCAAAAGCGAAAAAAAAGAAAAAAGAAAGAAAACAAGGAAAAATGAATTCGTTTTTTTATCTTCTTCCTTACAACTCCCCCTGTTCAGAACCTCTTGCGTACAAGGCCGCCCACGTGGATGTATATATATACATCGTCAAACATACATAACTATAATGATAATGTATATATAGTCAATTTGCCACCGAGCTTCAAACTATGATAAGAGCGCATTTGCGAGCGAGTGACAGAAGAAAAGAAAAGGGGAAGGGGGGGGCGGGGGGGAAGAGGACGATTTCATTCGTTCATATTTTCTTCTTTTTCATATTTTCTTCTTTTTCATATAGATATATATTGTCATATATATAAACACGGGGGGTTGCTACTCAGATGAACCTCGGAGGAAGGAAGAGAGGAGAGAGAGGGAGAGCAGGACGAAGTCTGGCAGAGGAGAGAGTGAGAGAGAGCGCATCGATGATTTGGAGGGGAGAGGAGAGAGGAGAGAGGAGAGAGGAGCCAGGCGAGTATGTTCTTCTTCCCCCTGGGGTTGTCCTCTTCCCCTTTTTCTTTGTTTCTGAGGAGGTAAGCCCATAACCTAATTGTATCGTTCTGAATCCATTCGCCCAGGATTTGAACTTACGATCTCTTATTTATTTATTATTATTTACTTATTATTTATTATTTATTATTTATTATTATTTATTTATGTCTTATTTTCATTTATTTATTTATTTTATTTTATTATTAATTATTTTATTTATTAGCACTTATATGTGTACAACATTCAACCTCATGCGCGGGGTGTTCGTCACCTCTTATCCCTTTTTTTTCTCAGTTGTTATTTTTTGCATGTCTATTAATCCTCTCCCTTCCTCTCCCTTCCTCTCCCTTCCCCTTTATTGCCCCCTTTTCCCCAACACGAATAAGTGTTCCATGCTCGTCTCCTCCCCCCCCCCCCCCTCCCCTTCCCCCCCTTTTATTATCCCTTTTTCTTCGTTAAGGTTACTAAGCTAATATTATTTTTCTCAAATTCGCATTTTGTACTACCTAACTACCACTACTCCTAAGCCTCTACAGGTGGCCCCTGCAAGCATAGCTACCTCTCGCAATCAAGGGCCCACATGCATATCCTCTTTTTCCCCCTTTTGTTTTCCCCTTTTTTCTTCCCCTTCCCCGCCTCCCCCCTCCCTCCTTCCCCCCCTCCCTCTCTTTCTTCTTCCCTTTTTTTCGTACCCCGCGTCGTTCCATGCACTCATCCCCCTGTTATTCGGTATAACCAAAAAAAGACATTAAAAAGGTAAAATACCACCATTCGTTGTCCACTTCTCCCTCTCTGTGCTACAGTTTACCGATCAGTTCTGTCTGACAATATACAAATATATAGTATTTACCCCTTTTGGTCATTTAACTTCCACCTTCGTGGCCGTAATTTCAGCGGTTCTTCTTTTTAACCGAAAATCATCACGGCTTACCGTGCTCCCGCCAGTCAGACCTGACGATTTCGGTTAAAAAAAAAAAAAAAAAAAGCTGAATTTGCGGCCAGGAAGGGGAAAGTTAAATGACCAAAAGAGTTACTGCCGAACACAACGCACCCTCAGTTTGACCGTATCGAGCAGGAAACATACCTTGTGTACGTTCATTTTCAGGGGAGCGTTCTATTCGGGGGAAGACGGTAGTAAAATGGCGTGCATGCTCACCCTCATTTCGACTGTATATGGGGGAAAACATACCTTGTATACGTTCATTTTTTTCAGGGGGCGTTCTATTCGGGAGAAGACGGTAGCCAAATTGCGTGGGCATGCTGTGCTAGCTACGTACGCACGTACCTACACCTCCACGTGTCATCGCTTCCGGTGGTTCGACGGTGGCGCGCTTCATGAGCGCCAGCGCTCCTCTGTAATTCCCATGCCTTTGTTCCATCTCCGCCCAATGACACCAGACTGCCGCGAGATCGTCCACCCCCTTGAATGGGACTTGGGTGGCCTTTTCCAGAATCACGCGCGCGTTTACCAGGTCCTTGTGCCCTTCATAGAACTTAGCGAAAGAGACCCACAAAGTGTGCGGTTTGCCCACAGCCTTGAGAGGGTCCACTGTTCTCACCGCCTCTGTGTACGTCAACACTTGCTTGTGAGCGTTCCCTGCAAAGAGCTTCACCCTCTTATGCCATTCGTGAACGTTATGAGGATTCTGCCGAAGTAAAACACTGCTAACCAGCTCGGCGCGCCTATCCATCAAATGCTCTAATCGCGCGATCCTGAGATCGAAATCATCATCATCATCATCATCATCAACGTCATCTTCTTCTTCTTCTTCCTCATCTTCATCTTCTTCTTCCTCTTCTTCTTCCTCTTCTTCCGCATCACCACCTCGCCGACGACGATCTACATCTGCTGCTTCTCGTTCTTCTTCTTCTTCTTCTTCTTCTTCTTCTTCGTCTGATTGTGTTTCTTGCCGCTTCTTTCTCCTCGTCCTCTCCCTCCCTTCCCCCTCCTCCTCCTCCTCTTCCTCCTTCCCCTCCTCCTCTTTCTTCTTGTTCCTCCCCTCCTCCTTCCTCTTCTTCTTCTCCTTCCTCGTCAATCCACGCAGCATCTGAAGCAGCTTCTCCCTCCTCCTCTTCCTCTCCTCCTCCTCCTCCTCCTTCGACGCCATCGCCATCGTCGCCGTCAGCATGCTTTCTTCAAACTGCGCGTACGCGTCGAACACCAGCGTGAAGTCCCGCACAGTGACCACTGTCATCATCCCCTCCTCGTACACATCCCTTGCCTTCTCGAACAGCCCTCTCCTGATGTAGAAATCTGCCAGCGACGTCCATAACCTCCCTACCTCGCTCGTAAACTTCCTGATCCCGCCTCTTATGATCGCATCCACCTTGATGCCAGTCACCTCCTTCGCGTGCTTCGTCAACAACTCGCACAGCTCCAGCCATAGCTGGTGCTTCGTCTTCCCCCTGATCGACGAGAACTCCTCGTCGTTAAGTATCTCCGCCAATCGCGTCGCCGCCTCTTGCCAGCGCGCCGCACTCTTCAAGAAATCGATGAAATCCTCGACGTGGGTTGGTTCAAGCTTCAGATACCGACGATAAACTCGCAGCGCCGTCTCGACCGGGATCCCGTCAGACCCGACGAACTTCAGATAGAGTTCCCAGATTCTGTCGTGTTGCGTGACCGGCAATGAGCACAGCGCGCGATCGAACGTGCGCCGCGTGCGTGTGATCAGCTTCTGCTTCATCAAGAACTGCAGGTACTCGAGCCATATCCTTGGCATTTTGTGCATCGTGACCAAAGACCTCTCGAACGTGTTGTTAAGAGATTCGTAGGCTTGGTTAGTTATGCACAGCCCACGGACGGCCTCGATCCTGTCTTTCAAATAAGCCCGCCATAGCTTGTAGCTTCCGGGAAGAGCCTTCAGAGCGCGCTCGTACAAGATGTACCGCTTTTTGGGCGGGCTGTCTCTCCTCGCTTGGATGTAGCGCCACCATAACTTCAACGTGTAAGGATTACGAAGAATCTCTTCCTCGTAAAGTAAATCTTCTTCGGATGGAAGAAGATGATCTGGCACTTTCGAAGGCATCTCTCTCTCTCTCTCTATCTATCTATCTATCTATCTATCTATCTATCTCTATCTATCTATCTATTTTGCCGCCAAAACTGCTCTCCCCCCACCGCCGACCCCCGTGCCCCCCCGCCTCCTCCGCTCGCCCTTTGCGGGATTAGAGTGTATTAAACACTCAACAGGGGCCCCGCCCCACCTTGCCACCTGTTCAGCATCCACAGACAAACGCCCACCCACCCTACCTCCCAGACACACCCATCGACGCCCCTGAAGACGCCAACGACCGTCACAGCTTGATTGGTCGTATGTTACGTGCCTTGCTCCGCGTCCAATCGTTCATCCACCCATCAAGGCAGCGACACACAACGGATTCGGGCGGGCGCGACGACCATATCCCCTCCCTGCGGCTCTCCGACACGTGTCCCCGATGGGGTTTAGTTCCTACCGACGGAGATCCTTTTTCGTTTTTTTTTTTTTTTTTTTTATGGATCGTCATTCCACGTCATTGGGCCTCGCCACATCACTCTTTGAAACGAGAAAGAAAACGAAAACGACAAAAACAAATCAGGAGGGCGGAGACGCCCGCCCTTCCTGTAGGCCGCTTCGTCACATACAGCACTCTCAAACGGGCCAACTCATGAGCCGGTCCCAAATATGGCCAACTCGTGAAAGCCGGTCCCAAATATGGCCAACTCGTGAAAGCCGGTCCCAAATATGGCCAACTCGTGAAAGCCGGTCCCAAATATGGCAACTTGTGAAAGCCGGTCCCAAATATGGCTGAATGGTGTGCGCATGACCTGTTGATGAAGTGACGTGAGTTTGAGTCCCGGGGACAGATCCCAACGCCTGGTTAGCTACACTGTGTTATGGTCAAACTTGGTAGGGACCTGGCGAGCAACATAGTGGAAAACGTCGAAAACACGATATGGGGCTCTAGTACAAACATTAAAAAAAAAAAGGCAAAAAAAACACACAAACATTATAAAAACCTAAAGCACCTACATATCGCACAAAAAAGAAAAAACGAAAAAAATGAAAACAAAAAATAAAAAACAAAAAAAAAGCAAAAAAATATGGACAATCTAACATTTTCGATACAAAATTCAGTGGAAAACAGAACACCCCTGCACCCCCAGTTAACCATGTGCACACATGGCTGACAGGGGGTGTTTTTCTCGCCGAATTTTGCACTGAAACTGTCAAATTATGGTTCATGTGCCCACATTGTTAACAGGAGTGTTCTTTTCATCGAATTTTGCACCAGCGGGTGTTTTCTTTTGCCGAATTTGCACTGAAAACTGTCAAATTATGTTCATGTGCACACTAGGGGTGTTTTTTTCACCGAATTTTGCATTGAAACTACCAAATTATGGTTAATCGAAAGTATTTTTTGTCGAATTTTGCACTGAAACTGTCAGGCTCTCCATTTTTTTTTTCTTGTTTTTTTTCGTTTATGTACGATATGTAGATGCTTTAGGGTTTATAATGTTTTTGTGTTTTTTTTTTTCTTTTTTTTTTATGTTCGTACTAGAGGCCCACATTGTTTGTTTGTTTATGTTTTCCACTATATTGTTTGGGGCGGTGCGATGAAGAGGGCAAATTTTCGGCCCTTTGTTAACTAACCATTTGTCCAAAAACAAATGATGTGGGTCTCCAATATAAACATATATATATATATATATCGTCACAAACAGAACTGCCCGGTAAACCGTAGGCAGAGAGAGAGAGAAGAGGACAACAAACGAGGGGCTGTGTATATATATATATAGGGTTCAGCCTCCTGATGAGTCGGTGAAACTCCGACGAAACAGTTTGTCACAGCCCCTCGTTTGTTGTCCTCTTCTCCCTCTCTGCCTACGGTTTACCGGGCAGTTCTAT